CATGGGTTAAATGTGTAGACACCAGGTTGTAACTATAATTTGATGATGGGCCAAATTATAAATGTACAACACCTATATATATGGGGTTATGGTCCCTAATCTAAGGTTAACAAAAACTCTATTCTCTTATCCTCATCTAAAGATACTAAAGGAGAAATCCTAAGATTAGAAAATCATCAAAAACCTAATTCAGATCAAAGCAATAGATTCAGGTATAGCTTCCGCTCTTATTGACGTTTAATCTCTATGATTTAATCATGATCAAGTCCAACACATGTTTCTAGTTTGCTATTAAGAGTTGTTAGACCCTAGAGGGGGGGGGGGGGGATTAGGGTCTTATGCTAATCTAACCCGATTAAATGCCAAATAAAACTAATTAACAAGATGTATTCTTGCAAGATAGATATACAAGAGTTATAAGCAAGAATAAGCAATATATAATATGATATATCCTAGCAAAGAGATATATAGCAAAGTATATATGCAAGGATATATAAACAACACAATGGGTAAACAATCTAAACAAGATAGTGGATGATATAGATAATGAGCTAATGACAATGGCGATATAAGATATGAACATAAATATGAATGAACGCCAAAGCACACTCAAACAAGCAATATGATCACGGAGTTCGGACCTTCCGTCCTACGTCTCCGCTCCCCACTCCAGGGGAGAAATCCACTAACACAATCCGGTTTGGAAGCCGGAACTTTTTCTACACACTCGGTTTTCTAGCTAACCGAAAACTCTACAACTCACACTCTTGCAATCACACTCTACACCCACTAAGTGTTGGACCTAGCCGTGTCTCCCTCAAGTGCTCGGTTACAACCTCTCCCTAGGCACGTCAACCGACGCCACTCCTCTTGGGACGATCCCCGACTCTCACCACACACTCCTCACTCGGTGTACAAGTGTATTACAAAGTGATTCTCACAATAAGCACAAATATGACAAATGATTGTTCTCAAAACAAGGTGAGAACTCAATTAAGCTCACTCTCAATGTCACAAACCCACAACCCTAAATTATACTATGAATGTAAAGAGGGAGAATAGTTGGATGCCCAAACACCAATAGATGATCTCCTCAAGCTCTTGTAGAATTGAATCACAAAACCGAAACACTCAAATGCTTAAAAGCTTCTTAAAACAAACTTAAACAAACACTAAACAAGTTTAAACCCTTGTTAAAACCTTTTAAACCATTCTCTTGTTTATGAGAAAAGAGTGCAATGAGGGTATATATAACCTCCCAAGAACTCAGCTAAAAACCTGAGCAAAAGACAAAACAGCCCAAAGGCAACGGTCATAAAAAGAGCCGTTGGAACTGTACTGGACAGGCGTCGGTCGACCGATCCGGTCGACAAATATCAAATAAATTTCAGAAAATGTAAAACTTTAGGGAATGATTGTAGACATGATAATAAACATGCTACAGCGACTGGTTTTCAGAAAGGACTTCCCAAATGTAAAATATCATCATTTTGCAAGGAGGTCCAAAACACGAAAATATAAACACATGAGTTTTAACATTTTAGCTAAACCATGTTTTGAAACAATACAAAATGATTTTATAGACTTAATAGAAGATGTAAACTATTGTTATGAAGTCTATAAATAATGAATATAGTATTTTATCAAAATACACATATAATACACTAAAACATGATTTCATGGAACTAAATAAAATTGATATTGATGAAATCATATAAATGTATTAAGTATGAAACAAAAATATGTTTTCCAATTGTATTTAATTGTTTCATAGTAAAACTTGAAAACTATCAAACCAAAATATATATGTATATATATAACTATATATATACATGGAAACCAATAAATGTGTGTGTGTGTGTGTGTATGTATGATATTGAGCTTAAAGTACCAACACACATAATATAAACTCCTAAACTAAATTACCCAAGCAATCTTGATCTTCAACGAAGCTCTATCTTGGTACACTTGCGGATGAAGCTTGAACTTGATCTTTAACTTGAATTGTACGATGCTTCACTCCACAATTCCTCCAACCTCCATTGGATATGATCGTTATGGCGCAATCCATCCATCCTCCAACAACGTTGTTTGTCTACAATACATAGGAATGCACAAACACTAGACAAACAACATTAGTAGTAAATTGTTTGTAAATCATCATCAAAACAAGAAGGCCAACAAGAGTTTCCGTGTCTCTTTGCTAGAACTAGCATTTTGTTAAAGCTAATGCGGCTTAAAGTTCCCTAATCTAGGGTTAACAAAAACTCTATTCTCTTATCCACATCTAAAGAGATACTAAAGGAGAAACCCTAAGATTAGAAAATCATTAAAAACCTAATTCAGATCAAAGCAATGGATTCAGGTATAGCTTCCGCTCTTATTGACGTTTAATCTCTATGATTTAATCACGATCAAGTCCAACACATGTTTCTAGTTTGCTATCAAGAGTTTTCGTGTCTCTTTGCTAGAACTAGCATTTTGTTAAAGCTAATGCGTCTTAAAGTTTTGACATGAATCTCTCAAGTTTTGTTTTCATTACTTTTACCTTAACATTTTAATTCTGTGAGTCTATATGACAATTGACATCATATTACATAATAGAGTTAGTTGAAATTTAGTCCGGTAGGAAATTTTCACTAGGCTTCTATGGTGAATTTGTTGTTTATGAAGGTTAGCCTCATTCATGCATTCAAGAAAGTAAGTCATCAATGGGTCATAAGAAAGTCTTAAAATCAAATTTTAAGAGGCCAAGGAATGAAAAATTCATGTGAGCATCAAATTTTTTGGTGTTATTACGAATACACACAAGCTTATAGAGAAGTTTGATCAATTAAAATCCCACTATTTGCTTGAATGAGGCTGGTGGCTTGCTAGCTGTCAACCACTCAATCAACTCCGTCTTGGCTCTAAACTCTAGCAGTTGACAGCTCTCAGCCTAACCCCTAATCTTCATTGAACTTGTACAAGAGAGAAAACTCTAGGTTATGGAAATTAATCCAAAGCCAAAGGGGGAGTTGTGATGCACGACAATGAGTTAACCTACTACAAGAGAAGAAGAGGACTTACTCTGAGCGGCAGAAAAGAGAAGCAGGAAACACAGCAACGATGACGATCTTCAAGCGGCAGAAAAGAGGGGAGCCGGGTTTTGACGAGAGGGAACGAAGCGTGTTGCTAGGGTTCATGGCGGCGAAGGCTAGGGTTTTGAGGGGAGAGAGCGGCAACGGCGGCAGTCTCTGAGAGGTGCTGAAGAGTAGGGTTCTGATTTTGGGGGTTTTTGATGAGAGGGAGGAATTAACTAAGGGTCTGTTTGGTTATTTCCTAAAAACCAAAAAAATAGAAATGAAAACTAAGAAATCTAAAAAAGTACAATTTCACACATTTCCATCCCTAAAACTCACCCACAACATCTAATAAAATATTATTTTTATCCAACAACCCATCCACTATATCTAATAAAATATTATTTTCATCCAACAACTCATCAATCACATCCACCATATCTAATAAAATATTATTTTCATCTACAACATCACTCAACTCACCTTATCTCATATTTAAAAATCACTCACATCATCCAATAAGATTGTGACAACTCATCTCATCTCATTAACATTTTATTTCTTTGTTTTCCTCCCAAAAAGCTAGGAAAACAATTTCCTTAAGTGTGGGTCACATCATCCAATAATATAATGACAACTCATCTCATCTCATCTATTTTCTTATTTTTAAGAAATAACCAAACAAAAGAAAACAACCTAATACAAGAAATAGGTTTCTTATAATACATTTTCTTATTTTTTCCGCAAACCAAACAACATCAAAACAAGTTTTCTTAAAAAATCACTCACATCATCTTATAATAATGTGACAACTCATCTCATCTCATCTCCATTTTTTTGATTTCCTTCTTTTTTTAGCCAACCAAACAATTCCAAAACCTATTTTTCTTAGAAATAGGTTTCATTTTCTTTGATTTCCCTCTTTTTTTAGGCAAACAAACAGCCCCCAAGCAAAAAGGGTTCCCACAGGTCAACTGACATTTTGTGTTTTTTCTCCTTTTTATTTTGTCATTTTGGTAAAAAGGAGGAAATTTCCTCCAATGTGAAAATACAAGTCCCAACGGTTTCAACCGTAGGGGTTGATAAAATTTGCCCCAACGGTTCCCACTACTCGTTGGAGCTTGTTGTCTTTTACTAGTGATAGCAATAAAGGTATAACAATCATATACCAAATTGTTGAAATAGGTAGTGGATTGAAAATTGATTAGGTAGAGCATTTTGTGCCTAAGGGTACCTGTAAGTGAATGAGTTTAAAAATAAATAGAGGGTAAGACTTTAGGTTTATAGACTGAAAACCCTTTTTGTAAGTAGTTCGTCTTAAAAATAATGAATATAGAGTTTGGGTTTATAGGCAACAAGCTTGTCTACGGCAAATGATGCCACAACAGTTGTATAAAAAGGAAAAGAAAAAAAAAGGTTTAAACATTTAGTTTAAAAATACATTGTATCCATATAGCAAGTAGGAGTAAAATATAACAACTTAGGGACAAAAATAACGGTTAAAACGTTTGGTTTAAAAAGACATCACATCTGTACAGCAAGCAACAGTAAAATATAACAACATACACTATACATCAAACAATTACAGAAGTACAAATTAGTTTAAAATTAATTTAAATATGACTAATCTACCTAATTAAAATATGTTTAATGTGCCCATTATTAAAAAAAAAAAACTCATTTCCATCTTTCTCCGCTGTCTTTCTTCCTCCAAACTAATTTTTTGAATTAACTTCATACAATCTAATAACACCCTCAAATGCTTCAACGTTGCGTTCAATCAAAGAAAAATTAATGATGATAAGTAATGAAAAATGAGTGATCCTATGTGAGGATGAACTCAGTGAATTCTAGGAAGGCCTCTTAAAATGTGAATCAATGGAATACATATCCCATCCAGAGCTCATCACAGCTTCAGAGTTTCAGTGCAACAAAAGAGATTTTTAAGATGATATCGGCATTAATTCAGATTGACAATCTCATAAAACCAAAACAATGCTACGAAAAACAGTCCAAGTTTTAGAGTCTCTCCCCTTGTGAGTAACATGTGATAAGTGTTTAATAAAATCATACAATGGAAAGGACTCTTAAGAGAGCCATATATCAAAAGATAAACAGATAAAAACTGATCAAGACCGGAGACCTATTGGCTATTGCTCTTCCAAGTCCGAAGATGCAGGCCCCTCTTACCCTAACAGAGGATAAAGCTTACGCCTGCAGGTAGAACAAAGCTATGATCATGGCTTGGCACCAGTCAACTATGAGAATGAAATATCAGGATTTTATAACTTAGCAGATAAGTTGTGAAATTTGATCGTGCCCAATAACATTTGCAAGCGACCATCAGCTCACCACATACACATGGCATGCGTATGCATAGTCTCTAGATACACGCATGATGCATCGCCACAAATGTATACTGGCACCGGAAAAGGTAATATGTATCATGACATAGGACGTCTGAAAAAAATAAAAATAAAATAATGCTATGTATGGATGAGCAGAGTTGGTTGCATGAGCAGGAACACACACATCTTATGAAAAGAGTAATTATTTTTCAAGGAATATTCAATCAAAAGTTGAAGTAGAAAAATGAAATAAGATGATAGCATCTTGTTTTCAACGCCGTGTATGTTTCTAAATACAGAAAAATATCTCTGGCTTCATTAGTGGGAAAAGAAAATCTTGAGTAAAACTGTACAGTTCCATGCAAAAAGCTCAGCACAAATCTTAAAATTTAGCCAGCAAACAGGGAGGGTACTCTCACTCTTCTATTAGCAAATCAGTTGGTAATTTGATGGTATTAACTATCCCCCATTCACTGCCCATAGTCATTTGGCATGTACACTTCTAAGGCTGAGAAATGTCTACCCCAAAATAGCAAAAAAATGTGAAGAAGAAAAACAACTACACTACAAAACATGGGCACAACAATAGACAAATAGAGAAGTTGGCACAAAAATAGACATACATAGGTTTTCGTTGTTGCTCCCTGTTTATGAGTTTAGAACATAAAACTATCACATTCAACCCTCGTCTTAACTTCAGAGCTTAAGCACAGTGGAAGAGCACTTCACATGGCAATGAAAGCGCTCCAGGTTCGAATCCCACCAGCAAAGAACTTAAATGGATTTATCAAAAAAAAAAAAAAAATCGCTATGCAGGTCCAGATTTCAGCCAATGAAAGGGAGCTCAACTTGCAGGGCACATTAGAATATAGAATGATAACCCTTAACCCCCCATCATAACTTCAGAGTTTCGGTATAGTGGAAGGGGCAAACATGCTATCATCAATTTGGAATAGACTCAGAGATGTTACACTTTTGAGTGGCAAAAGTTTGAAGCTAAACATACATCAAACATGCCAAGGAATCAAGTGCTACTATCAGTAACCACACAAACAATTACACATTACTAGCAATATGCACAACCACATAGCATCCCAGGATTCCCTGATGAGCGGGTTTCAATCCTCTCGAAAAATCCCCATTAGTTAGGTTACACGTATTGTCAAAACCCTCCTTGACCTGAGTAGTGAAAATCCCAACCAGCCCATTCTATCTCACACAAAAACATATAAGTAGTAATTACCTCTTACTATGCTTCTAACTACCCATATAAATTGCCAAACCTTTGAATTTAAACTTCACTAGTAAATTCCGTGTCTTCTTTGCTAAATTCCATTTATTAATTTTACTACACACACCTTTCCAAATCTTTACTACCTCTTAAACACCACCTTGTCTCATCAAATATTAAACCAAATACATAGTTGTTTCATATGCATAACTCAACCCTATATGGACACTACATGTTTAGTTAAATGTCACGGTCCTTTGCCGAAAGATAGAATGAGCAAGTGGGGGTGAAATCTTGAAACGTAACAACCCATGCTATGTCATTTCTCTCATGATTTAGAAAAGGATGCAAAAATCACAGAACCTCAATAGAAAGTTCAAGATTTAGATACTTAACAAGAAATACATTTATTAAAGATATCATTTAGCAATTTTGGTCTCATTCTTTATCCGATATACCTTTAAATTGTGTGATGTCAAGCAAAGTCTCAAAGGAGCTAAAGAGATCATAACAATGAATATCAGAATTCACACATCACCAAATATCGACATAATTATGTTCCTCACTTATCTAGAATACCACACAACGAAGCAACTTCACTTACATGAATGAGTATAGCATTGATTCAGGTCTTTGAACATGTAATTAAATTTCAAATTGTAATTGACAATGCATACTACTACCATGTTTGGCAACTTTGAACTATAGTTCACTAGGATTTTAATCCACAAATGGATTATAATCCATGTGGATTATAGTCCATAGTGTTTTGGTAAATTTAGTGTATTATAATCCACTTCCAATAGTAGAGTGTTCGGCAAATAGGTGGATTATAATCCATCTATGTTGTCAAAATGACGAAACAGGACATGGCTTATAATCCACCAAAAGGGCATGGCTTGGAATTTATTGAAATAGTGATGGATATACGTCTTTTACTTGGTCAAACCTTGTGGCTTATAATCCACCGAAAATAAGCTAGGGCGCCCTAGCTTATTTTTGGGTGGATTGTAAGGGGGTGTTTGGTTCAATTTCTACTAATTATAGGAAATGTTTTCCACCCAAAATATGATTTCCTTGTATTTCTTAAAAAATTATAGGAAAAGTTTTGAGAAGTCAAAAAGTATAATTTTTTTTGTTTTTTTACTTTGCTTGTTTGGTTCAAAACAAGAAAATGACCCATAACTTTATAGAAAATAGCAAGATTTCCTATAATTTGTAAAAATTGAACCAAACACCCCCTAAATTTATAGAAAAATATCAACTTTATAGAAAAATATCAATGTGGTATCAGATTTCTAAGTGATTTCCGTCCATTTTGAGAGGAAATTGATTTCTATAAATTTTGGTATTTTTTTGTACTTTACAAAAAACATTTCTATAAACTTTTTTGAACCAAACACAATTTACAAAAATCTATAGAAAATATTTAATTACAAAATTACTATTATCAGATATTTTGAGAAAACTGTTCTATAAAATTATCCAACCAAACACCCCCTAAGCCAAACTAAGCTACTTGCCAAACATCTCAACATGGCTTATAAGCCACTTTGACCATTTACCAAATATGCTATAACATGTCAGAGAAATCCTGAATCTCAATCCCTATAGTTACATTTAAACACATGATAAAACATGATACTCTTTTTCGATTCCTACATGGGTTGAAATCTGAAAATTGTCTTTATTACACAAAAGATCTAAATTGTTAACATAAACTTCTAGTCATCAAGCAACACGATAGTCACTTTATGAAAAAACCAAATTCATTACTATATTGCATCATATCCTCGTAAAAATGCAACAAACACAATTACATCCAAAAACATTAATCTTCATTATAAAAAGGATAGAGTAATCAATAAACAAGGTAATCAAGACCTTTGTACCTCTAGAAAGACAAATCTCAAGCTTCCACAACCTTCTCATCCTCTTCACCGCCATCATTCTTATCCAACCCAACAATCTTCTCCAACTCCAACCACCCGCCAACAAAATCCTTCTCAAACTTCTTCCTCAACCCCGTAACCACCCTCTTCGCGGCCCTCACCCTTTTTTCCTTCACCAACTTTTCCACCAAAATCTTCACCGCCCCAAGGTCCGGAACCTTCTTCTCCTTCAAAGCATCCCCGAAAACCTCCAGCCCCCCATTCAAATCCCCCTTCTTACACAGCTCCATCATATAAACCTTATACGTCCTATAATTCGCCTCACACCCTTTTCCCCCTAACCCCTCATAAACCTCCCTTGCTTCTTTGAATTTCCCATTCTTACAATAACAATCAATCAAGTAATTATGAGTAATCGTGTCGGGTTTTAACCCGTTTTCCTCCATCTCCTGAACAATCTTCAAAACCGTTTCGGGTTTCGATTTCGCTAAAACCTTGCCCATGATTCTAACATTGTACGCAGCCGCATCAGGGACCAACTTCTTATCCTTCATCTCCTTCCAGAGCTTCTCCGCTCTTGCGCTTCTTCTCTTTGTTAGGGGAGTCGAGGATGGTCGTTGTAGTAACGGTTGTGACAGTGTATGCTCCTTGGACTGGCATTTCTTTAGAGGGTTTGGATGCGAGGGCGGAGTTGCCGGACTTGCAATGGGACTTGATCAGTAAAGAGAAGGAGATGTATCGGGGACGATGGGGGGTGGGATTTAGGGAGGAGAGGAAGATGCTCGGGACGGAGCGTAGAGGAGGCGGGTGTGGGTGAGGGAGGAAGGAGGGAGTTGAGGGAGAGGAGGAGGGGGAGGGGATGAGAGAGAGGACGGAGAGGCCGAGTCGAGCATGCCGGAGGAGCGTAGGAGGAGGCTACGGAGAGAGGTGGGGCTCCGTCCTGAGGTGAGGGGACGGTCGAGGGCTCCAGGAGGGAGTGATGGCGGGGAGGTCGCCGGAGCGGACGAGGCGGCGGGGTCGGGGAGAAGGCGTGGGTTGAGGAGGAGAGCGGGGAGGCGGCGGCGGCGGCGGCGCGGCGGTGAGAGTGGCGGGAGGCTTTCGGCGCATGATTCGCGCTGGAGTGAGGCGGGCAGAGGAGGCATTGTGGGGGTTAGGGTTTGGTGAGAGGGAATTTGGGAGTGAGCGAGCGAGCGCAGGAGGTGGTTCAGACTTCAGAGAGTGTAGTTAGGGGGTTAGTCACCTAGAACTTTAAATTAGAACTGGGATAATCCGTGGGATAAAATTTTAAGGTGTTAGTCACATAGAACTAAACCTAGAACAAAATTTTAAGGTGTTAGTCACATAGAACTAAAACTAGAATAAAATTTTACAGTGTTAGTCAAGTAGAACTTTAACAAAACTAGAATTAGGATAATGGTACAAAATTATCCCACTTTTTTTATTTTTCTATACACAAATGAGAGTTCTAGTCTCTCAAATTATTCCAAGTTTTAACTTGGAACTAGGTGGTAAAAAACTAGAACTCATATTTATTTTGTTATTTTTTATTTTTCTTTTTTTCTTTACATATTTCCTATTATGGTTATCACCATCATTAGACCATTTTGTTATTTTTTATTTTTCTTTTTTTCTTTACATATTTCCTATTATGGTTATCACCATCATTAGACCATCATAATAATAATAATTGTCAATATCTTATAGTCTAACCAAAAGTTATTTAATATCTAATAGTAAAGAACATTCTTATAAGCAACTATCAATCAATAATAGTAAGTTTAAAATACATAAATAGTATTTATATCTTCAAAATGCATAAATATATACTTCATGATTATAAAAATTTATCCCACGTTATTTTATCAAAATATCCCGCTTCACAAAATTGTTCCTAGTTATTCTACTAAAATATCCCACTAGCGAAACATTATTCCACTTTAACAATTATCCCATTTTGCATGAAAATGTCCCAATTGACTAACACCCCCTTAGGGACAAATTTTGAAAAACTATTTGTCAAAACCGACTTAGTTTCAGCCTAGGTTGGTTTTGATAAAAAAAACTCTGATACTTTATGGGACTTAAAGTCTTGAAGTCCCGTGAAGTTTAGTAGTCATTTAATTAAGCTGCGTAGCCATTTAATTAAGCTACATGAATTTACAGGACATCAAGTCCCATGAAGTTTATTTTAACTACGAAACTTCACGGGACTTCATGACTTAAAGTCCCGTGAAGCTTTAGTCTCATTTTCCAGAGAAGTTACTCTCTGGATAATGCGGCCTGTAACTCCACGGGGCTTCAAGTCCCATGGAGTTTGGCTTTGCCTATATAAGGCACAGTCGAGAACTCAGGCCCACACCCACACCCACACGCGACCCCCCACGCAACCCAAACCCTAGCCCATTGAACCTGAACCCGCCACCCCTCACCGTACCGCTGGCCCTACCGCTAGCCCCCATCGGAGATCACTGTCGTCGTCATCGCCGGAGTTCACTTGAAATTAGGGCATCGACAATTTTAAGGTAAAATCTTAAAAAAAAATTCTCCTAATTTTTTTTGTATATTCTCACTATTTCATGGTGATTACGGGTGAAAAATTAGATTTGGAAATAATTTATGAATTATTTATGAATTTTGTGAAGAAAAATTAAATAATTTTGTGTATTTGGAGGGGAAGTTATCAAAAAAAATGTAAAAGTTAGTGTTACTACAAATGTTTGACATTTGGTTAAAATTATGGGTTTCTAAAATCGATATAAGAGATTTAATGGTAAGTAACATTATTTTAAGTTTTTCGTGTAATATTGATATTGAATTTTTTACTGTTCAGAGGTAACAATGAACGATCAAATCATAATTCTTTGTTCATATGATTGAAAGATTAACTATCTCGAATAATATGCCCATTTATGAAGGAGGTGTGACGAAGCCGTTGTTTATATCAAAATCGTGTACTTTCGATGAATTGGTTAATAACTTACACAAACTTACATTAACCAACTCACACAAGTATCACCTTAATGTTATTTACAATTATCCTGTTGTGGGGAACAGAACAAGCGGCATTCAAATTTCAAGTGACTATGATATGAGTCTCATTGGAGTATTACATGACGAGAAGTGTTTGGTTGAATTATTTGTTGAAAAACATCAGAGAAATTTGAGCAAATCAGTAAATCACGACGGAATATACTCCCGTATGTTGGAGGACGTTGAAGTTGACTCCGTTGGCTTTTTATCTCCGCAATAAGATGAAGGCTGGACACAGTCACAATATTTGAACGGTCCTTCGCATATGGGCACTTCAAATGCCTTCGATACTAACACGACTCATCAAGATGATAATGTAAGTGTCAAATCCAAGGATGATGATGAAGAGGATGGCTTACAAATTAATAGCATGATGTGTTTGATAGATCGCGATGAAGGGGACAACCATTATATTGACGAATGTTAAACTAACAATGAGTATGTCGTGTTAGAGGATCCGCTGGCTGATGAACTTCATGGCTGAATTTTAAGAATATTGTTGTAATTCAGTATATATGTGATCGATTGTTGTTCACAGGTGTATTTTCGTGAGTATTGTTTGATTCATGGCTGAAATTTAAGAATATTTTTGTAATTCAGTATATATTGTTTGATTCATGGAGAAAATTTCATGGATATTGTTGTGAAATACATTTAGGAAAATCGTTGTGTATATATAAAAACATGCACAGCAGGCTGTGCATGTTTTTTAAAACCTGCAGCTTCTCACGGGACTTGAAGTCCCGTGAAGTTGCAGGCTAAATTTTCAGAGACTGGAAATACAGCTCAAAACTTCACGAGACTTCAAGTCCCATGAAGTTTTTTGCTTCAAAAAATTTCACAGGACTTGAAGTCTCGTGAAATAATTGTCGCCCTAATTAGCGTCATTATAGGATGATAAACTTCACGGGACTTCAAAATCCCGTGAAGTTTTAGAGTTTTTTTGCTAAAACCGACCCAGTTTCAGCCCGACGGCCGAAACTAGGTCGGTTTTGACGAATATTTTTTAGAATAGGTCCTTTTTTGCGAATATTTTTGTAAGGACAAATTTTGAAAACCATCCTATTTAAAAAAAATTCACAAATTCCAACCTATTCTAAAAACATTTGTCAAAACTGACCTAGTTTCAGCCGTCTGGCTGAAACTGAGTCGGTTTTGACAAAATATGTTCTGAAACTTCACGAGACGTCAAGTCCCGTGAAGTTTTGTTATATACAAAAACTTCACGGGACTTGAAGTCCCGTGAAGTTTCGGAAGATTTTTCTTCAAAACCGACCCAGTTTCAGCCGTGAATTTTTCTTCAAAACCGACCCAGTTTCAGCCCGACGACTGAAACTGGGTCGGTTTTCACAAATATTTTGTGAATGAGTCGATTTTTGTAATTATTTTCTCAAATAGGATGGTTTTCAAAATTTGTCCTTTTTGTAAATGAGTCGGTTTTTAAAATTTGTCATTTTTTTCTTAGCCTATGTTGACACGTCAAATATGCTTTATTTTGCAGATTAACCTCTCAAATCTACTAATTATAGTAGAGAGAATTTCATGTGAATATCCTCACAATATTGACACACCAACCTCTCTGATAACAATTGATACCAATTGATGAAAAATCAGCATCAGTTCGAACAAACGAGAGAAGACAATCTAATGAGATTGCAAAGACTTAAGCATTTATGTGGTTCGACAATCGCCTGTGTCCACATGGAAAGATGAGTCTTCTTCATTCTAGAGGTTGCAAGATATAATCTTTCTTACATTCTTGAAAGAAAAACCCTCAAAAATCTGATGTGCAGTTCTGCGTTCAGATTAACAAAGTTTCAGAGTAAACGAAAGAACTCTATCAACACATTCAGTTTTGAATACAGGACAAATTGTAGAGGAAAAACAACAACAAACAATTTTAATCTCAAATATTTAGGGAGCGAAAAAGTAAAATAAAAATAAAAATAAATGAATGACATATTTTTTGCACGCTTCATCATTAACAAGGATCGATCATCACCGATAAATCAGTACTCAACTTGAGTTGTATCATACATCAAAAAATTTACTTTCAACAATTAACTCAAAATTCTTTGACTCGTTAACTTAGGAAGGGAGCTCCCATCTATTCTGCATCTTATTTAGATTCCCCCCCCATCTTTGCATCATTATTCATCTGTTAATCTCAAGATCATCGGTAGCATTTCTCTTCCCAGAATCTTGATCAAATGGTGAAAAAAATAAAAATCTAAAATGTCCTTGAATACTTTTTAATCTCGTATAATATAGAAGATATCGAAACGAAATCCTTGTTCAATGCAGAACCACCGGGAATACCCTTTACAGACTCAGAGAGCCGAGTATAATATAGAAGCAACTGTGTCAATGCCGGCTTGAAAATATCCATTCCACTCAAAAAATTGCTAAAAGAAGTAATAATGTCTTTGTGCATCAACTCTATGGCACTCTTCCATTTGCTTGCAAAATCCTTGACAAAGGGTTCAACATCAGAGACAACATGCCTTTTTACGCTAGGACTCATGTCTTCGCCTGTTATATAACTTGATAGTTCAAATGGGGGGAAGGAAAAATAAATATATTCAATTTTTAGATATAAAAGTAAGGGTTTTTCTCATAATGGACCCTAAATTATTTCGTAAGTGTAAATTATATCCGCAAATCTCCATATTTCTATTTTTTTACTGTTTGGACTCCATCCATACCAGAAATTAATAGATTTGGGGGTGTTATTTAGAAATAAGAATATTTGGGGTTTA